CAGTCTGTTGAGCAAATCATTATAGAAATTGGACTATATGAAGAGGAATGTGGCATCAGGAGGACATGAGGAAGCTATTAACAACCTGCATTGTGCAGATGACACCACCTTGATTACTGAATGTGAGGAGGACTTGAAGCACTTGCTACAGAAGATCAAAGACTGTAGCCTTTAATACAGATTACATCTCAACATCAAGAAGACAAAAATCCTCCTCACTGTGTAGTGGTTAAAAATCCACCACCAGGGGAGCTCTGGTGGCCTAGTGGCAAGGAGTTGCAACTACAATCCCAGAGGCACACGGTTCGAATCCACCAGATGCTCTGCCAGGGAAGGAGGGACAATCTCCTCCTGTACCTGTACCAGTCAGATCCGATTTGACGGTACACTCACAAAAAAAAAAAAAATCCACCACCAAAGGCCAGTCCAGAGAAGGAGGCCATACAGAGAGCCTCACCTCACTCACATGCTACCTCCTTTCACATTTCCTTTTAAGGAGGGAGGTCTATCACTTGGGTAACTTTCTAATAAACCTATTTTTCCTTTGTTACCTAAAAAAAAAAAAAAAATCCAGCACCAAGACCCTTCAAATTTGTTGTGTTCTTGGTCATTACAGACCTGAATATACTGTGTGTAGAATGTTAGCATCCAAGATAAAGTAAGAAACTGTTCCCAATTATTATGACTTAGGTTTTATTCTCATGTCTACAAACAAAGCCAAATGAAGACTCAATGAGATGTGTCTTCTGCTCCACCCTGTCCCCAGCCCACACCTGCTATCTGATGACTCTTTTGGATTCACTGCCTCCATTCTCTCTCCAATTCATAATCTGTACTGCAGACCATGTAGAAAAAGAACAAAGTGCCTCACTGAGGGCCTCCCTCTTCTTAGAGCTGACACTCTACCAAGCATGACATTTTTCTCCACAGACTGGTCTCTCCTGGTAACATGCCAAAGTGCATGAGATGAAATCTCACCATCATTTTTTTTCCTGTGGAGCATTCTGATTGTATTTATTCCAGGAAAGATTTGCTGGTTCTCCTGGCAGTTCATGTTATATTCAGTAATCTTCACCAACACCAGAATCCAAGCACATCAATTTTTTTTAATATCTGTTATCTATGTCCAGCTCACATTTATGTGAACAAACGGATAACACTATGGCTTGGGTCAGGGACACCTTAGTCCTCATTGTGACAACTTTGCTCTTTAATGCACACATACGTGTGTGTGTGTGTGTGTGTGTGTGTGTGTGTGTGTGTGTGATATGGGAAATGAAGCTCTTTAATACTTAAAGGAGGCAATTGGCAGTAGATTTGTCCAGTGTATTACATTGCTCCATATCAATTCCATCTACATGCTGAGCAAATTATCCAAGTAGCTAGAGTCTGTAAAAAGGAGTGTGGCACCAGGATTGGAAGGAGAGTCATCAATAACCTGTGCTTTGCAGAGGACACAACCTTGCTTGTTGAAAGTGTGGAGGACTTGAAGCACTTATTGTAGAAGATAAAAAAATGCAGCCTTCTAGTGGAGTGGACCTGGGGGGAGGGATTGTAAAGCAATGAAATAATTTTTCTTTTACTTTTCAAGGAGAAGAGTGGGGGGGATAGGGGTGGGCAGGGAGAAAAGTGCAACAATGAATGAATGGAAATCCAAAGTCTCTGTAAATTTTCATTGAAATTAATAATATTTTTTTTTTTAAATGCAGGCTTCGGTATGGATTGAATCTCAATGTCAGGAAAACAAAGATTCTTACCACTGGACTGATAGACATCATAATAGAGGAAAAGGAGATTGAAACTGTCAACAGCTTCCTCTTGCTTGGATCCACAATTAACACCCAGGAAATAAAGAGATGCATTGCATTGGGAAAATCTGCAGTTAGGGACCTTTCCAAATTATTGAGTAGTGATGTCATTTTGAGGACTAAGGTGCATCTGATTCAGGCCATAGTCTTTCTGATTACTAGTTATGCATCTAAGACTTGGACAGTGAATAAAGATGGCAGAAAATTGACATCTTTGAGCTGTAATGTTGGAGAAGAGCACTAAACATTCCACGGACGACCAAAAGAACAGATGTGTCTTGGAGAAGCAGCCAAAGTGCTCTTTGGAGGCAAGAATAATGAGGCTTCACCACACATACTTTGGGCATGTTGCTAGGGGGGGCTATTCCTTGGAGGACATGGTGCTGCGAAGGGTGGAGGGTTGGTAAAGGAGAGGAAGACCCTCAACCTGCTAGACTGACATGGTGAATGCTGCAATGGGCTGCGGTGTGTCAGGAAGTGTGAGATAGCACAGAACAGGACGGGGTTCCGATCTTATGTTCATAGGGTCGCTATGAGTCATACTTTACTTGACAGTACCTAACAACAATAACATTCTTTGTCTTTTTTTTTAATCAAGCTTGAATTTCTGGAAATTTCCTTTCAATGTATTGCTGCAACCATTATCATCAATAAAAACATATTTGCATGTTGGATGTTTGATAATTTTCTGCATTATGTTGCATCACTTTTTTTAAGAATAAGCAGCTTTTTCTATAATGAACATAGATCTTTTCCAGACGGTTTTCCAAATTTCTCGTCATTTATTGAAACACCTCAGTTGATGTACCATCAATTCCTGCTGCTGTGGTGTGCCACTGAGTTGGAAGTGACCCCTAACTGACCCATAGCTGACCCTTCAGCACTTTTCAGAGGCAGTAAACCACACGAGAGGAGCATGCTCATCCTTCTGCAGAGCAGCTGGTGGATTCGAACCACCTGCTTTTGGAGTTGCAGCACAGTTTCTCACCACTAGGCTACCAGGGCTCCTGGACCCTTGGTTTTTGCTATGCCTTCAGTACAGCTTCGATTTCCTCCTTTAAGAGCAAATATGCAGGGCTTAAACATATGCTAACGTCTGAAATAGATCAGCATCAACTTTTTTTTTTAGTGCCATGACTCTACGTACCTTCTCCGGATGCTTCTTGTGTTCAATATTGTATTCTTTCAATAGTGTAACTTGAAGATTGAAAGGTTTCTCCCCCGCCCCCTCCCCAGTTTGTTAAACCTGAGAAAATCTGAGGTCTGTCTTCTCTCTTTTGGTTTCTTAACTCCAAGTCTTTGCATGTTTCATTATAATAGTTCACTTTGTTCTCTGAAGCTGCCCTTTCAATTTTTTGCAGCTTTTAATTTCATCATTCCATTCACTTTTGTGAATTCAAGAGCAAGTTTCGGAGTCTCTCTGACATCCAGTTTGGTCTTTTCTTTCTTTTTAATGATCTTCTGTTTTCTTCATGTATGATATCTTTGATGTCATCGCACAACTGACTTGGTCTTTGATCATTAGTGTTCAGTGCATCAAATCTATTCTTGTGATGGTCTCTGAATTCAGTTCAGTTACTCGAGGTCCTACTTTCCCATATGGGAGTTGGGAGTCTATCCTGGAGCTGGTTGAGGTGTACTGTTGTCTTAGCAATGGTATATTTAATAATACAAACAACAAAACATATATAAAATATAGGTACTTATACGTAAAGAGGGAGCTCTGGTGGCCTGGTGGTAAGAAGCTGCGCTGCAATCCCAAAGTTGCTCTGTGGGAGAAGAATGGGCAATCTTCTGCCACGTGATTAACTGTCTCAGAAAACGGGCCGGAGGGTCAGCTATGGGTTGGTTCAGACTCTACAGTACACAACAACAACAACAACAACAACAGTATATATATATGAGTTCTGGTGGCATCATCAGTAGACAGTTGTGCATGTCTCTAGCAGTTCGAATCCACCAGCAACTCTGAGGTAGAAAGCTGTAGTTGTTGTTGTTGCTAGGTGCCTTCAAGTTGATACAAGCCATATCAACCCTATAAACAACAGACCTGAACCCCATCCTATCCTGCGCCCTCCTCGCACTTCCTGACGTACTGGAGCCCTTTGCAGCTGTCACCGTGTCAAAAGGAGAACGTAAAGGTGGTCAATCTCCTCCCATGTGCTGTTTTCTTTTTAACGGAATGATTTTTTTTAATACAAATTGTGCTTCATTCCTGTAGATTGTACTTCACAACTTCATTCATATTGTGTTCCACACAATCATTTATATGCATTGTTTTATAAAATTAACTACCATTGATCTATGCCTGCTGTTACCCAGTCTTTTCAGGTCCTAATGGGGTCTTTCGCATTCTCTCCCCCCACCTCTTCCACCCCTGTACCCTGCCCATCTGTCCATCAATCCTCCCATGTTTTACCAATTCCCAAAGTCTTCAGAGATTCTGCTAGGAGTTGCTTCTGGCTTGAGGTCAGTGAGAGAATTTTATACATAAAAACAGGTGTTATCTGGGGTGTGTTTTGTGTTTTGTTCTAAATAAACTTAGAAAATGTAGCAGAGGCAGAGGCAGGGTAGACAGAAACTTTAAAAAAATTTAAAATCAAAATTTTATTTTATACTGTTTTACTTACAAAGTTTGTATACTTTGTGTTCCACACCAGATCTTTCCCATTTCCTTTACTCACCCCTACCCTCCACCCAGGACAGAAACTTTTTAACCACCAAGACAAGAAACAAATAATACATACCTTCAAACTGCCACTAAGTTACTTTTAGGAGAAACAAAATCTTGGGTGCATTTTACTCTAAGGCTTCTGTTTCTGAAATATGTAACTGTCTTTTAAGTATGACTGTAACTAGGAATAATTAATTCAGTTAAATTACTCTCTTTCTCTTCAAAACTTTCTCTTTTTGGGGGATGGGGGAAGAGTGCCTCTCCAAAGATGCTACTTTGTATAAAACCTCAGGCAGAAATAAATGACACAAGCTTACAATAAAAAAATTATTAATAGGAAGTATTTTCAGATACTTGACAATATTTATGGCACAAATACATGATTTGCAAATACGAAGATTTTAGCACAATCATTTGACATAATCATTCAGTTGAAGCACTGTCAGAGGAAGGCACAGTTCTCTTTAGGTGCAGAGTTAGGTGAGATAGAACTTCTGCGGCCATTTCTTTAACAGAGTTTATTCTGAATCCCTCTTGTTGGATTCTTCCTCCTCAAATTCCACTAAAGGAGCATGTCTGTTGGCTTGAGAGCCTTCTTTGTAGAAAATCTTCTTTATCGTACCATCCCTGGGGGCCTTTATGGTATGCTGCAGAGACATAAGTAAGACGCCACAGTGGTTCCAACATGAACAGGATTGTGTGCACTCCGTGATGAGTAAGTCAAGTGAAAAGTTACAAATGTGCCCACCTGTCTTGCTGCTTTGTTGCTAGTCACTGTTTCCCCAATCTATTTTAATATCTAATCGCACACAGTTGGAGCACTGGGGGCCTAGAAGCTGCACTGCAATTCCAAAGGCACATGGTTCAAATCTACCAGCTGCTCAGTGGGAGGATAGACTATCACCCCCCGTGCAATTAACTGCCTCTGAAAACCAGCCAGAGGGTCAGCTATGGGCTGGTTCCAACTCAATGGTACACAACAAAAAACAGCACACAAAAGAAAAAGTCTTTTTAAGGCATGAGGAGGGGCTGAAAGGAAGCAGTACGGTGGCCCACTTGCAGCCCCTTCAGGGCACACTGTTGGAAACTCCCGTCTAGCAAGCAACTCTCAAGTTTCTGACTAAAATGTGACTTAGCTAGCCTTTAAAAATTGTTATGTGCAGTTGAGTCGTTTGCGACTCATGGCGACCCTATGTACAAGAGCCCTAAATGCTGCTCTAACCTGTGCCAACCTCGTCAACTCTGACACACTTACTCCCACCACCACAATCACAGATCGATCCATCTCATCGAGGGTCTTCCTCTCCTTCGCTGTCCCTCCACTCTCCCAAACATGATGTGCTTCTCTAAGGACTGGTCCCTCCTTGCAACATGCCCCAAATATGTCAATTTTAAAACTGCAGACCCTTAAACCTTCAACAGATCCAAGATTTCCTTTTCAAGGGTCACTGTGACCCAAAGTGGGCCTGACAGCCCCTATGGACAATACTGATACCTCACAGGAGAACTAGTGGCACGGGAGCTAAGAGGGTGTGACTGTCAGATAGGTCAGCAATTCGACACCACCAGTCACTCTGGGATGTAGCAATTTGCATTATTAAAGATTAACTCAAACTCAATGCCGTTGAGTTGGTCCCACTCACTGGGTTTCCCAGGCTGCACGCTGTAATGCAGGAGTCTGCCCATTTTTTTGGCAAAGAGCTCCTGGTGGCTTCGGAATGCTGAAGCCGCATGGGGTTTGGGTGAAGACACAACTCTCAGTGGACTATGCTGCCAGAGCTCCCTTCCTTCAAGATTATGACCTTGGAAACCGTGCTGGGCAGTTCTGCTCTCTCCTACACGTCCCAATCAACTTGATGGCAGCAGGTTTCGCTTGTCAAGATTCCCAGAATCCTGAATTTAGCTTGAGGAAACACTATTAATATCCAGTTATGCTATGATCTGATTCCAAGCTTTTGAAAACTGCATTACCTTCGGGTTCAAAATTAACAGACGTGATTGTCCAATTTTACAAAATGAAAATGTATTTGTGAAAAGCATGGATTGACTTTTTTTCTCAAAGTTCATGCTTAATCGAAGCCTGGCTCTTAATCTTCAAACAGATCTTACCTTGTCACATCAGGCTAACAAACACTTAGGTCTACAAGCAGCCTCATTTCACTTTGTGCTGAATATGTGGACTCACTCACCTCCATTTTCATGGCGATCATCACCAAGAGAGAATCTCCAGCTTTCACTTTGTCTCCAGGTTTCACGAACACCTAGAGAATTCAGAGGGATGCGTTAGTGTTTGAAAATGGGTCCTTAAAGGTCCACAGATGCTGGCTCAGACAGTGTGCTGGTGCAGGCAATGGGCTGGTGCAGGTAACGGGGTGGTGCAGGCTGGGCCCTTCCGAGGGGCCTGGCACTGCTGACAGTCCAGAGAAACAGCTCGGCTTTCCATTTCCACCTAAGTTTGCTTAAATCAGATGAGTATGATTTTTAGAGCTCTAAATTTCTTTTTCATGAAAATACAGACAGGATATATTATCAAGAATGAAGGAGGGACATATTTGAATGTCTTCCCTGCAGCAAGGCCAAGGGATAAGGATCTCTACTGGTTTTCCAGCTCTGTTCTAGTGTTCTAAGAGAATTTTCAAGTACTCAGGGCCCAGTGGCATATGATTACATGACCACGCTCAAGTCAAAAAACTAAGCTTACCGGCAATCCTTAAAAGAAGAAAAAAATCTCTTTTCCTTTTTGCATATATGTTGTTGTTAGGTGCCACTGAGTTGAGTATGATTCACAGCAACCCTATAAACAAAAGATCTGAACCCTGCTCTATACTGCACCATCCTCACATTTCCTGACACACAAGAGCCCACTGCACCATTGCAGCAGTCACCGTGTCAATCCACATACTCAAGGGTCTTCCTCTCCTTTGCCAACCAGACCCTCTTCTTTGCCAACTCTCCACCCTTCCCAACACCATTCAAGGAAGAGGCCCTCCTAGCAACATGTCCAAATTATGTGAGGCAAAGCTAATTATTCTAGCCTCCAAAGAGCACTAAATAGACTTCACTATTCCACCTGGTCTCACGATCTCACTGATTTACAGAGTTACTAAGAGTTTCTGGAAACATTACATTCTACAGAAGAGCTAGGTCCTAAAGTCAGTGGGCAGAGCCAAGACCGTGAACAGTGGGAAAAGCTCCTCTAAGTCCTGAGCATCACCTGATGCTTTAGCAAATGAAATCAACTGTCCGGGTCTAGGGGCCAGTTACTAGGGAAATATGTTAAAATTAACACCCCAAGTGGAGTTGCCCACATTAGGGGAGGACTGTGGGTCCTGGGATCAAATGGGCGACGTCGGCTTCCTATCTTGTACCTCTCGGGACAAATGTTCTCAGATGAAAATCATGGGGGTGATGCTGCCCACATTATTTAACATGTCACCGCACACTTTTAAATTGACAACCATGCTTAGAAACACATTTGCCATCATTTGCAGCAACGGATAAACAGTTACTTCTTTCTTCTCCCTTCCTCTTTTTCTGCAGTACCAGGTATGTGTAGTTGAATTTTTTGGACTTAAATACATTAAACACAAGCCAAATTTTGCTGAGAATAATTAAAATATTGTAGCGGCAGTCCATCACCAGAGAACTCTGCGAGAAATTTAAGCTGGAATCAGAAGAGGACGTGGAAAAAAAGGATATGATTGGTGATGGATCTTGGTGAGAAACAGAAAGACGTTTATCTGTGTTTACTGGCTAAGCAAAAGCATTCATTTGCTGGGAACAACAACTTATGGGTAATACTGTAAAGGGGTTCCACTGTAGATCAGGGGGACGGCGCATCTTTCACCATCTGAAATGACATCAGTATGGATCTCAACTCCAACTATAAATCATATCCCAACCCAAACCAGGCTCTCTTCAACAGTCCAGGCCTTTCAAGTTTAACACAGATGTAATTATGCACATCACAGCAAATACAATTTCTTAAATAAAATTAACTATTGTTAAACTTTAAATTCAAAATGAGCTCTTGGGGTTAGAGTAGGTGAATTCTACATTTTAAACATAAAAAGATAATTTGGATTCTTTGTCAACTGGATGGAAATTCTCACCTTCAAAAAAAAAATGCAGTCTTTACAGTTAATTAGGTAAAAATGTATTTTTCAGTGAAGACTATAATAAGGATTTTAATCTAAACAGGTCTTCTTTTATCCCTGAAATGAATGCTTTCCCATGAGCAAGATTAAAGGATGGAAAAAGGGTATGTATGAAAATGTTCAACAAAGACCTTATAAGCTATCATCCTGTATCCATCATGTGCTTACCTTTTCAATGGTGCCTGTCATAGGTGCTTTGGTACCTCCTTGAGCTCCCTCAGAGGTCACTGAAGACAAGTATTTGGGTACTGGAATGTCAATCTGGACAGTTCCTTCCTGTGAACAGAAAAGACACTACAATGCAATCAAGGTCCTATTATTGTATTTTTACTAGAAGTAAATGATTTATATCCGTCACTAATAGCTTGCCTCCAGAAACTCTATAAACTTGGAGAAATGATAAAAGTTATACAAGTGTTCAGGTCTTTCATTCATAGTCACTATGAGACATCTACAACTCGACGGCACTTAACAACCACCACCACCACCCTTGGTACCAGCAGTCAGGAGATCAGAGGTAATGCACTGGGAAAGTCAGTAGTTAGAGACCTCTCCAAATTATTGAGGAGCAAAGGTGTCAGCTTGATGACTAAGGTGTGCCTGATCCAGGCCATAGTCTTTTCAATCACTTGTGTCCATCTGTGACAGAAGAAGAATTGATGCCTTTGAGTCGTGTTGTTGAAGTACTGAATATCCCATGGACTGCCAGAAGAAGAAACAGCTGTATCTTGGAAAAGTGCGGCCAGAATGCTCCTTGGAGGCAAGATGGCAAAGCTTTGTCTCACATATGCTGGGCAGTGCTAGGAGAGGCTGTTCCTTGGAGAAGGTCATCACGCTTGGAAAGGTGGGGGGGTCAGCGAAAGAAAAGACGACTTTCACAGAGATGGATTGACACAGTGACTGCAGCGATGGGCTTGAGTGTGTCAGAGACATGAGGATGGCTCAGGACAAGGCCTGACTCAGACCTGTTGTTCATTTATTGTTTACAGGTCACTATGAGTCATACTCAACTCATGGCATCTAGCAACAACAACAACAACAATAACAACAGCAACAGATGCGTGAGGTACTGACTGCTTTCAAATAATCTGTTAAGTATTTAAAAACAAAAATTACTGATGTTAAATATGACTCATGGGGACTCCATGCCTGTCATAGCAGAACCTGGTGCCAAAGTGTCTTCAAGGTTGCGGTCTTCTGGAAGTAATGGCGAGCCTTTCCTTCTGAGGCATCGACTCTGAGGGGACCCCAGCCTCCACACTTTCACCTAGCCAGCAGCTGACAGCATGAGACATTCACCTCACCAGGGTTCCAATGCAGCTCTGGGTCCCTGAGACATGCAGTCTCAGATTCCCATTAGAAAGGAGTCAACAGTACACATGTCACAGAGAAGAGCACGAGAAGGCAGTTCCTAGGGCTGGCAATGTCTGGCTTAAAATATGACCCACAGTTAAAAGCCAGTCCTATAAAGCCTTTACATTAAAATGCTGAAGTACATTCAATGGCTTGTAATGATGCATGCAACTTTGCAACTAGTAACAAGACATTACTATTGTTATTACTACAGTGTTTTTATGTTAAAGATGTTTGAGAGTGTCTGGAAGTGTTTAATATATTTTTTTTCATATAAGAAAGTATAGTATAATAGACTATATGGCATGTGTTAAGAAGTTGTGCTGCAGTCCCAAAGGCATGCAGTTCGAATCCACCAGCAGCTGTGCAAGAGAAGGATATGCTATTTCCTCCCATTTAATTAAGTGCCTCTGAAAACACACTGGAGGGTCAGCTATGGGTTGGTTCCAACTCGACAGTACAGAACAACAACTACACACTGAACTGACTTACATACAAATTCGACTTAAAGACAGATTTAGGAATGGAATTGGTTTGTAATCCAGGGACAGCCCTAATTATTCTTAACACTTGTTGCTGTTGTTATGTGTCACTGAGTCAATGACAACTCATAGCAACCCTATGCACAATAGCCTTAAACTCAGCCAATCTCAATGTCTCTGACACACTGTCCTCAACACCCCAGATACGGTATTAATCCATTTTATCTGGGGTCTTCCTCTGCTGTGCTGTCCCTCTGCCCTACCAAGCATGATGTCCTTCTCCTGATAACATGCCTGACATATGTGAGACAGAGCCTCAAAATCCTTGCCTCCAAGGGGCAGTTTGGTTTCACCCTCTTTGTTCTCTTGGCCATCTATGGTTATATTAAAGATTCTTCTCCAACACCACAACTACAAGACATCAATTCTTCTTCTGTCATATTTGGTCCAGCTCTCTGATGCATAGCAAATAACTGTCAAGATCAGGGCCTGGATCAGGGGTACCTTGGTCTCTATAATGAGATGGTTGATCTTCAGCACTCTGGAGAGGTTCCTGGCAGCAGATTTTCCTAATGCAATTTGTTCTTTGATATCCTGACTGCTGGTGCCAAGAGTGTTAGGTCAATATTTTAATCATCACAATAGCTCTATGAGGTAAGTCCTATTATTGTCACAGCTTAAAGGTGGGAGAACTCAAGCACAGAGAATTTAACTTGCTGAAAGCCACATAGGTGGAAGTTAGGAGGGCCTTTGTTTGTCCTAAAGCAGCTCTTGACTAGTCCATTACATGGTTTCTAGGGAGCCCCAATAGCACAGTGGTTAAAATGCTCAGCTGCCAACCGAAAGGTCTGTCATTCAGGCTCATCAATGGCCCCATTTCAGGAAGACAAGGCAGTGGACTTCCATGAAGAATGGCAGCCTATCGCGCAAGTCTACCCTGTCTTGCAGGGCAGCTGTGAGTTGGAACTGAGTTGACGACAGACACACAGCCTTTACTGCTGTGTTGCTGCAGCATAACTCATTATGGGAAGGAATTCCTTCAAAGGTGTCACTCTGGTCTCTGTATATGGAAGTTTCGTTATTGCAGTACTAAACTCTCCCATCACAAAGCAGTCTGGTCTACAGGAGAGCTCCCTAATGTTGAAGACTCCAAAGAGAAGGCAGCGTGTTCTATAACCCACTCTTCTCCCAACAGGGAGCTCTGTGGCCTAGAGGTAAGGAGTTGCACTGGCAACACAAAGTTACGTGGCACAAAGCCACCAGCTACTCCACAGGACAGAGACCCATTCCCTGGGAGTGTCCTCCCCTGGGATTAACTGCCTGTGAAAGCCTGCTGGGGGCAGCTGTGGGTCAGTTCTGAACCTATGGTACACAACAAAAACAACAACTTCTGCCCATGCAGAATGCTAAGGACTCTCTGAGGTGCAGACTTCCAAGTGTAGACAATGTTTAGGAAACAATCTCTTAACCAAACCCCCAGAGCCTGCATGACCTTTTTCGACTGCAAAGAGATCCCCATCAATCCACCTGGTTCTTCCTGTCCCCCCTTCCTCACACTGAACACCTGTTCAGGCTCATCTCCCAGTGGGCATTTCCTCCCAGATCAGCAAGTCACCTGGTGTGAGGAAGCTAGTGGCTGCAGAAAGGTGACCAGACCTAAAAACTCCAATAGCCTGCCCTTCACTGAGCAGAAAAGGGACTCCCTAACAAAGAAGGTGTGAGGACATGTTTCAGAATGAAAAAGAAGAAAATGGCTACATGTACAACAGTGAGAATCTGTGAGGACAAAAGGGGGCAGATGGAGCAATGGAGAAGGCTGGAGTGTGGCAAAGAAACAGTGAGGGAAACAGAGGGAGAAAAGAATGCAGCTGTCTTCAGAGGAAGCTGGCTCCACCCGATCTCTTTTTTTACAAAGTTTCAGATCAACCAACTTCCTCCCAAACCCCAACAGGGACATTATAAAGACGAGCATCACCATGGAAAAGAGGTGAATTCTGTTTTCCAGGATAATGAGCTTAGCTTTCCGAGCAACTCCACTGACGGAACTTTTCAGGTAGGTGCAGTCTCCCTCACTACAGAGTTCTCCAAGGACGTGGAAAGTTTGATCATCAAACTGAAAAAACAAAACAACAACAGAAAAATGAGATGTTTAAAATGGATGAATGGCTCTAAGCAACTAATAAGATCAGAATGAACTCTTCACTGTTACAAGTAGTTTGAAGGGGTGATGTGTAAAATACTCAAAATAAAAAGTCACATAGAAACTTTCCCCTGAAAGTTCCCAAACAAGACAGGTAAAAACACCAGTCACGTAAGCCAGAGCGAAATATTCCTTACATTATATATCTACAATATCATAATGCTATGCATATAAAATTTTGTTTACAAATAGAAGAACAGTAAAAATACAATTTGGCACAGTGACCACTATATGACTCAGCTGAATATATTACAGATTAGCACTCATTTCTGAGGAATCTAAGGGCAGTTTTGGTCAGAAGCACATGATTTGATGGTATTTCTTCTCTCTTACTGACATATAGAGCCAATTCATCGGCTTTTAGTTAAGACGGACCACATTTTTTTCTTACTTTAGGAAGAGGTTGCCAAAGGACAGATTACACATTTAACCTTATAAGGAAGCTGATGCAGGACATGGTGGCTTCCCCTTTTAAAGAATGTTTTTGTACCTATACACTCATAATTCTCTTATACTATCTTCTCTATTTTCATTTTTATTCCCATGATGTTAGTACAGAAGTCCAATGGGCTGACCAAGGGGAAATGGGTCACGCATGCCAGTGTCTATACACTGGATCGTGTCTACTCTAATAATCACATTCTATGCCTCCTTTTACCTACTAAAACAGGTTTATTGTGCGGAACCCATTGGACATACAAGCTGGATTGGAAACAGGTTTGTATGAAAGTTTACAAAAACACACAGTGCATTTGTGAATGTAGTTTCAGGAGCAGGTTAGAATAAATCTCCAATCGGCTAATAACCATTTACCAAGTATCAACAAGGGGTTTTCTCAAAGCAGAGCTGTCAACATCAAACTCTCAGGTGTTAAAACATGTTGGCTTCAGTCCTTTCTAAACCCCAGAGAAAGAAAACGAATGTATTTTTAAATATCGGAAAATGAAAGCATATAAGTTTGCCTAGGAGAGGGTGAAACCAGGCAGCTCTTTGGAGGCAAGGCTTCTGAGGCTTCACCTGACACACTTTGGGCATGTTGCAACAAGGGGCCAGACCTTGGAGAGGAACGTCATGCTTAGAAAGGTGGAGGGACAGGGTAGGAGAAGAAGACCACTGATGAGATGGACTGATATAGTAACTGGGGTAATGGGGGTAGCTGTGTCAGACAATAGATTGGCACAGGATAGAGCAGGGTTTAGGGTTGCTGTACAGAGGGTTGTTATGAGTTGCGACTTGACAGCACAAAACACAACAAGGCATACTTCTGATAAACTAATTTTGTAGGCTTTGAATCTTTAGCTTATATAAAAAATGACTTGCTCTAGACCCCTACATTTGTACCTTACTAAAGAAATTAGGTCGATTTTCTTTCCACATTGTGTTTTAACCTTTTGAGCATTTCCTTTTACCCATGTGATTGACTTCTTTGAATTGAAAGATATTTTAAAATTTTAGACCAGAAATCTTCAAAGTATGATCTGTGGAGCCTTTAGCTAGAGCTCCCAAGATCCTCCAGGGGGCCTATGAAGTCAAAAGTATTTTTCATAATAATACAAAAATAACCCCTATTCTCTCATGCATGCGCCATTTTCTAGACGCTGCAGAATGTGTTAACGCCATTTCTCTGACTGTAAATAGAACATGTACAGGTGCAGTCTTACGCTTTACAAGATTCTCAGTTTAATTTTCTAACAGGGTGTTAACATTTATAACATGTATACAGAAAAGCTCTTCAGGGAACCTCAATATCCGAGAATGTAAAGGGGTCCTGAGATCAAATATCTGAGAACCCCTACTTTAGATCGAAGCTGACACATACACTTCAGGATCTTGCTAGGTGTCCATTTCAAGGCTATAATTTTAGCCAAGTTTCCATCCTTAAGGGAATCACAGTCACACCTAGTAAGTCAAACTGAGTTAGAAATTATAGATGAAGAAATTTCCCCCAAACTGATATGAAATAAAAGCATGAGATTCTTATTAGCTATAGTCTTTTTTTTAAAAAAAATATTTCTTTATTTTTAAATGTTATTATTTCTTTGTGTGTGTACCGTCAAATCAGATCTGACTGGTACAGGAGAGAATTGCCCCTCCTTCTCCAGCAGAGCATCTGGTGGATTCAATCCCCATACCTCTGGGATTGCAGGGCAGCTTCTTTCCACTACGCCACCAGAGCTCCCTATTGGCGATAGTCTTAATAACCAACAGAAATAAAAATGCCATGTGACCCATTAATTCCACTACTGGGAATATACCCTAAAGAATTTAGAACTTCCACCCAAGCAGATAAATGCACACCTACGTTTATTGTGGCTTTGTTCACAATAGCAAAGAGTTGGAAACAACCCAAATGCCCATTAACAAATGAACGGACAGAGAAGCTCTGGTATATTCACACAATGGAACACTATGATGTATTGAAAAACAAGGAACTCATGAAATATTATACAAAATGGGTGACCCTGGAGGACATTATAATGAGTAAAATATCTGTCACAAAAGAACAAATACTGCGTAGTGCCACTGTTGTAAAGTAGGACTTACATCAGGATTGGCGGGTGGAAACTAAGATGAGGGAGAGTACTGTTTAGGAAAAATATATGATTAGGTATTATCGCAATGTCAAGAGTCCACAATGAAAGCTGCACAGTGGAGTGGACTGAGGGATGAGGAGGATTATATAACAATGAAAGAATTTTTTAAATTTTTTTTTTTTACTTTTCAAACAGAAAAGTGAACTGGGGGTTAGGGTGGGCGAGGAGGAAAGTGTACAACAATGAATGAATGGAAATCCAGTCTCTGTAAATTTTCATTAAAATAAAAAAAAGGAAAAAATAATAAAATGGGTTCTTTTTAAAAAAAAGAAAAAAGAAACCAGGAAGTATAAAGAGAGATTAGATTTAGCTTTGAACTGTATAATAAAACCAATTGAGCTTACCTGCATGTTATATGATCCATCGTGGTTGTATGTTACAGCTATGTCTACATCTTCATGGGGGGAGGGAAGGTGAAAAAAATTAGAAGACATTAGTTTATTACCTGAGATTTCAAAAATTTTTATTTTCAATCTAAATTTAACCAGTTTATGGAAATATCTCTTAACTTTCTGGCAACAGAAGTTTTGTTTAAACACATCCAAACAGGTTTCAATAAGGATGAATTAAAAACTTTAAAAAAACTTAAAACTTTAAGATTGTAGAATATTTTCCCTAAACAATCAAACTGCCGTGCTTGCTGTCCACTCAGCATGCACAGACCTGTGGCTGAGCAGGGAGGGGTTATGGCTTGAGGATTGGGAGTCATGAGGACCCCTGGCTTGTTGAGTTGGCCTATGTGGGGGCTAAGGCTGAGTGAGGAGACCAGGAGGTCTGGAAGGTAGGGAGAAGTGTGGACCCCTGAGTTTGATGTCCAGCTGAGCTGAGCCACAGATGACTGGGGAGAAGTTGACCAGAACCCACCCAGATGAAGAGAGGATTATCCCTGCTGCCAGCTAGGGCTGACTGTTGCACCTTGAGGGATTGCTCAGGACTGGAATTTGCTTGTGGATGCAAATACTTAAAGTTTCCAAATTGAACAGAGGATTCTTCAGCAGAGGGACATGCTTGTTCCCTCAGATTTCTGGTTTGATAAGGATGGGCAAATCCAAATTTGGCTATCTAAAAGGGGGGGTATTAAGGCAGGAGGCATGAAGTAGCTGGCTTACATGCTTTCACCAATGCAATCATTGGTAAGATGATTGTAAAGGGGGAAACCTTCACAATATACATAAACAAAATCTGAATGAAAGATTGTATAAAACACAATGTGTGTGAATGATAAAAATGTTAAATAAAAATCCCTAAAATGGTCATGCTACAGTGTAAAATATGCAATGAACTGGTTAAAAGCCCCAAACCAAGTCTTTTTTTTTTTCAGTGTATATATTTTTAAAATTTTTTTATTACTATTTTTAATGAAAGTTTACAGAGACTTTGGATTTCCAAAACCTAAGTCTTTTACCATCAAGTTGATTCCAGTCACAGCACAGTGGGTTAAGGGTTCAGCTGGCATTCTGAACCAACCAGTTGCTCCATCGGTGAAGACGAGGCCGTGCAGCTCCACTAGGGCAGCACTACTCTAGCTACGTGGTAGCCATAAGGTTAAAGGGATGTTCTAGTCCAAGACATAAATCTGCCATGTTTCTGTGATCTGAGTAATCTCTAAAATCATCTGGATTTTTTTTATATAATGACTTAGTCAGTAAATAATTGTGGATAGGATGAGGATGAAATAAATATGGATGTGCTGGATAAACTGTAACAGACTCTACAAATATAAGAATGCATGCATGTTATTACCAGTGAATATGGAAAAGGATCCATCACCCGGGGAACTGTGGAAATTCTCCGAGGAAAAGGGGGAAGCCACAGGCCAGAGTCATCTCACTCACTTCTGATACTTCAGTCACCATTTCGATGCTCCCAAGTCAAACCTGTTCACAGTCCTGACCTACCTTCTTTTGAACTCCAGCGAATCTGGAGCTGGATATTCTACAGACAACTCAAAATGGACGTGGTGTCGCCACCAAGCCTCTTCCATTATACCTGCTTCCCATCCTGACCCGGAGCTCCAGGACTGGCAGAGACCCTGAGGAATGGTGCAGGATAGGGCCAGGTTCAGGTCTGCTGTTCACAGGGTCACCACAAGGCATAGGCAAATGATGGCATCTAACTACCCTGACCAGCACACTGCTCTGGAGAGCTCCAGTGGCCCTGTCTATAGGGAGCTGGGCTGCTAATCCCAAGTTCAAGAATCTCTTGAACTCATCAGCTGCTCTGCAGGAGAAAGATGGGCAACTTCCTCCTGCGTGCTTTACAGGCTTGGAAACTCAACGGAGGGTCAACCATGAGTTGGCTCCAACTTGAAGACAATGAATTGAATTGAGCAATTTTACTCACTCCTCATTGCCAAGTCACCAGTCCTCACCCATGCTAACCTAGACCCATCTCACTGTGTTTATACTCTGCTCAGCGATCCAGAGAAGAATCTACCTTAACATAGTGAACTGTCCCTCCATTAAACTCTTAAACCTTTATGTACAAACCACCACTATAATGGCAGCCTAGGGTAAGGTGGTCCTGTGGCCTAAGGAGTTATGCTGCCAACACAAATGGTGCTCGGTTCAAAGGGTGAGAGAAAGGTGGACAATCTCCTCCGGTGTATTTTACAGCCCCTGAAACCCCACTGGAGGGTCAGCTATGACTCAACGGCATATAACAACAATATAATTCTCCTCTAGCTCAGTTTTAGAAAAACACCCCTTTGTGTATTTTTTTTCTTAGTCACAAAAGTAAAAATATATATGAAATATATTAGCATAAACAGTGAAAAATGAAAGACTTCCCTCTTGCTCAGAGGTAATACCTATTAGCATTTTAGTGTGTAACTAACTCTTTTCCGACTTTGCCAACATCAGTTGTTTTCTTTTCTAATTGTGGTTTCTATGTAATAAACATTCGCCATTTCAATCTATTTCACCTGAACAATTTTGAGGCATTAATTTCTGATCATCATGCTGCTTTCCTAACACCTTTAATAAAGCCGTGTGATCCTACATAGTGACTCCCCTTTTCCTACCTTCTCTCCTCTCTGTTTCTAATAACCACTGGACATTTTCGTTTCTAAATGTTCACCTAGTCTAGATTTTTCTCCTAGAAATGGGTCATATAATATCTGTCCTCTTCTGACTGGTTTATTTCCCTCGGTTTGAGATACACTATGTTACCAGGACTTCATTTCCTAAGGGCAGAGTAATTGTATGCATGGATCACATTTTGTTTACTCACGCATCTGTTGACAGACATTTAGTTTGGTTCTCTCTTCTAGCCTTTGTGAATAGTGTTGAAATGAATGCTGTTGCATAAATATCAAACTGTACTCTTGCATTCAATTATTTTGATCATATCCTTTGGAGTGGACTTGCTAGATAATATGGCAGATTTTTTGCTTAGCTTTTTGAGGAACTGCTACACTGTCTACCAAAGTAGATACATTTTACAATCCCAACAGCAATAAGGACAGTTTCAGTTTCCTCACATCCTCACACTAACACCTGATGATTTTTCTCTCAGTCACAGCCATTTTTGTGACCACAGAGAGGTATCTCTGTGTGGTTTTGGTTTGCATTTCCTTACTGATCAGTGATTGTGAGCATCTTTTCATGTGCTTAATGATCATATTATTTCTTTGGCAAAAAATTATATTCAAGCCCTCTGCCATTTTTTTATTCGGTCATTCATCTATTGTAAAACTGCAGGCATTCTTCACAGAGTCTGGACATGAAACCCTTTATTCAGATCTTTTCAAACACACACTCATAGCTATTTTTGTTTTATAAAAGTAGGGTTATTTTATAAACACTGCCATGGAACTAACTTTTAAAAATTAGTATGTGATATAGAGTTCAGCTTGATTTATTTCAACAGCTGTAAGGGGAGCTAGTTTAATAATGATGCTCTAATGACAGCTCACAGTGACTGCGAACTATATACAATGAGCTCAATGTTTCACGTGATGTCTCATTTGGTCCCCATAACCCCAGAAGTAATTACTACCAACACATTTACACCAGGGGAACTTGGAGTTTACAGGGTAGAGTGACTTGCCCAAGAGTCACAGAAAAGACGCACGATCTGAACACACAGTCTCCATCTTCCCAATGTTCGTATTTATCCTATACCAAGGGGTAAATTCCTGGGGGGGGGACACACAGAAAGATAAAAACCAATCTTTTTTGTCCTCCACATCACTCAGTATGTTTTCTCCCCTTCAAAAGGTTTTACTGTATGAATGAGCTTTTCCATTCTATACTGTCAATAATCTTTAATCCTTCAGCAGTGAAGTGATTCCAATTACATTAGATCTGGTTTTTTCTCAATTTCTGGAATCCAACAAGTATTTAACTGACACGAATGCGAATAGAAGCAAGGTAAAGATAAAGGCAGGAAAATTCTACATTGTTTCTTGCATTATAGGGTAGTCGGACTTGTTTTTCTCTGCCACACATATCTATTATCCTCTATCAGAGGACTGACTGTATATCTGTTTGTATGTATACCTGTTTGTATGTATTTTATCAAAGGAAGGAACAGGAGTGAGGCTGCAGTGATAGTTGAGAATATACACTCTGGAGCAAGCATGGGTTCAAATCCAGAGTACTAACTACTCTTGGGTGACTTAGAGAATTCCTCATCTCTCTCTGCTTTGGTTTCTCTAGTTACAAAGCTGATACTAAGAGTAAGTACGTCTCATCAGTCTGTTCTGAAATGTCCTGGGCACAGTGCTGTGAAATATGCCCCCTAGGAGCAGAGAAAGAGCACTGCTGAAGTCTTCAGTATTTAAAATACTTGGTCCTTCCCATAGAGATGACTCAAAGTTGGTTCTACTTGAGATTCATAAATGCTTTCTGGGTTTCCTTTGTACACTCTCTTATTCAACCATAGGTGACTGCTAATTAGTATTTATAAGAGATTGCCAAACAATTCTGAAATACATTCAGAGCTAGATTATTTGCTCAGAATACTGCCAAAAGGGTACAGGGAACAGGATTCATATTAGATTTTCAATTATGTCTTCATTTATTTTTAAATTAAAACATTTAAAAAAAACCCTCCAAAAATATGGAAAAAATAACAAAAGAGCTGTAACCTAATCAACTTCTATGGGCATGTTGTTGTTAGATGCTGTTGAGTTGAGTACGGGTGACCCTATAAACAACACATCCGAAGCCTGCCCTATCCTCATTATTTCAGACATTCTTGAGCCCATTATAGCAGTCACTGTGTCAATCCACCTGGTTTATCATATTCCTCTCCTTTGTTGACCTTTCCAAGCATGATGTCCTCTACAAGGAACAGCCTCTCCTAACAACATGTCCAACATCCCATCGATGTCCAAGAGAACGAACAGATATGTCTTGGAGAGGGTGCAGCTGGAGTGCTCTTTGGAGGCTAGAATGATGAGGCTTTGCCTCATATATTTTGGGCATGTTCCTAGGAGGGACTATTCCGTGGAGAAAAACGTGATGTGGGAAGGGTGGAGGGTCGGTGAAGGAGAGAAAGACCCTCAACCAGGTGAACTGCCACAGGGACTGTTGCAATGCGGTCCTGTGTGTTAGGAAGTGTGAGGATGGCGCAGGACAGGACTGATTTCAGATTTTTGGTTCATAGGGTCACTATGTACTCGACTCGGTGGCACCTCAACAACAAATGACATGCCCAAAGAGTATGAGATGAAATTTTGTCATGGACATAGAATGTACTAATAAATGAGTGGCAGTCTACAGGGAACTGAGATAAAGAAAATCCTCTCAAGGGACGAGCATGTGAAAGTCTGTTGCTCAGGTGGCAGCCTCTTCTGATTTCAATTAAAATGAGCCAGGTCCTAGCCTGAACCTACTCAGATTATTCTGCCATCAAGAATGAAGCCTCCACCTGAAAAATTGCTGGAAATAACACAGAAGCCAAGTCCTGAAGAATGGGTGTGTCTGTCCTGCCTCTACCACTTCCTGGCCTTGAGTTACTTCATTTCCTGTGCCTCGCTTTCATCATCCACATGTGGGGGATCACAATGGCTCCCCCTGATTAAGTTGTTGTGAAGATAAGTAAATGATAGCTTTTTTTGTGACCTACTTCTACCGGACGCATTGTCTGAGCAGCGAGTAATCTTCCCTGACAGTTTTAGATTTTTTTTCATATTCTCATTGTAGAAAAATGACCAAGTGTAGTGAAAAGATATGGAGGAAAAAAAGATTCCTTAAATCCCATCACCCAGCACACTAACATTCAGTAGCATTTTGGCACAGCTCATTTTAGTCTTATTTTTGTGTATATTTTATGACAGAGTTTTAGAATATTTATAAATACACATAAAAAGTGTAAAGAAGTGAAGGGGGATGTCGTTAACTCCACCACACAGAGATAAAAATTCTGTTATTTTGGCATACCACAGTCTTGCAGATAATGCACCCATGGCAAGAACTCATCTTTGAGTAGCAAGCACAGGAAACACATGCATAAGGAGTTGTAAGGTTTGAAAACAAATCCATGCAACACATTTGTTATTTGAAAAAAAAACAACAAACCATTTTTTTAAAAAAGAATTTTTTCCAATGTTTAAGCTAGATGATTTTAAAAAATGTAACTAAATTATTATGATCTGGCTAAATCCTTTATTCCTCAAATACATGAATCATCTTTCTCTATATTGGAAACATTACTTACTGCTTTTGCCATCCCTAAGAGTCATGTTTCTGGTGTAACAGATATTCAGTCTTCTTCCACTGCTAGATGCAAATGGAGAGAATCGGTCTAGAAAAAATATCAAATTCATCAACAAATAAAACAAAAGCCACTAAGCCTACTAAATATCTAACTTAGCAAAGAAAACAAACAATATAGATACTAAACTGGCAGCTAAAATATGTCTTCTTTGCTCTTTCCATTGTTTTAAATTTAGATACATTCATTTACACCTCAGGAAACACTGTATGAAAAAAATCCCAGCTTCTCTTGAAAGATCACACAAAGTATTTGCAGCCTGAACTCTCCCCCTTTGGTTGCAAGAACCATATAGTGGTCGCCCTGTGGTAAACGGGCAAATGTAACATCGACCTCTGTTTTTTCCCCCAGGCCTCTGGCTCTTTTGTGTGACTGGTCAACCCCACAGGCTTTCAGAATGCAGCTCTTCCCTTGGGCAATAGCCAGGAGCTACAGCAAAGCTAAATGGAAGTTATTTATTCTGAAGCCCAGATTTGTGTCTATTATAAATTTTAAAAAAAGGAAGGTCAGAGCAAGAGGACACTTTGTTCCAAAAATTAAGTATGTGTAGTCTCAGGAATACCTCATGATGATGCATTTCAGTGTATGAGGACAAAATTAAGATACATCACAAATCTTCCAAAAAATATAGCTGCACATTTGCATTTTTCAATAATGCTTTATTGAAAGAATTTGTAAAATGAAGATTCTAGATAATAAGTTAATTACATATCCCCTCGTCCCCACTGCTGCACCTTGTGCGAGAAGGCTTATGCTTTGCTTTCCTGAAAACCGGAAGAAGTAAAAGTAGTTCTACTCTGATACACATGGGGGCGCTATGAGTTGGAATCGACTCACCAGCATCTAAAGCCTAAATGTATGACAGAGCACGGTCAAAAGAGCTCAGATTTTGGGTCCGTTTAATGGCCCCAGAATCCCTAATGCATATCTCCAGGGGTCCCAGGACCAGAGAAGTTGCTGCCATGAGAAGGAGGAAGATAAAGAAGTTGGAAGCTATCAGCTTCTAACAAGGTCGTGGAAGAATGAGTGTTTGGGTGAAAAGAGACCTAACTCCATAAAGGTAGGTGCTCTGTTAGTAAGGATTTACAGGTTTATATATGACAACATGTGGATGCAGAGTCAAACTAAAGAACACATGAGCAGAGGACAGTGTCAACTGATGGAGGAAGGGATGGTGTCAACTTCTGGAAGAAAGGGGCACGTGGTATGAAGAAAGAAAGCACCTTCAGTGAAAATTCATAGAAACCTGGCAATCGTGAAAACGGAGAAAGGCCCTCCATACCTTGCACCTGAAGTTTGAAAGCATCCGTCACAGCTTTCTCCTGGAGGATGAGGCCCAGGGCTGCCTGGCACACAGATTCCTTGGCTGTGGCCTTCCGAGCGGGAAACAGTTCTCTGTGGTGTTGAGGAATGAAGTCGGTGTGCACATTCCCAGCTTCAAACGCTGGGTGGCTGGAGAGGCTGAGCAGGAAGTCAATGTTGGTGTGCAGTCCGACGATCTAGGACGAGAAGAGAGCCCTAAGTTCCTCCTGAGTGTGTGTGTGTTCGGGTGTGTGTGTGCACACACTCAGGAGAAATGCTGCATTTGTATGACATGCATTCTCCATTACCTTCAACAAAGGCCATTTTCAGGAAAAAACACAAGAATCCACTAAAGTACCACATGGTGATAAAAAAGCACTTAGGGGAAACAAAACAAAAAGAAAACTAACAGTATCAGTATGGTAGCATTGCAATTTGTATGGATTTGACATGCAAAACTGTATTTCACTATGAGAAAGTAGCCCTAGGAAATGGCATCTAAACAGGCTGTGTGGGGACGCTGCATTGACCCAGGTTAGGAAAGTACTAAATACTAAGAAACATCAATGGGATTTATTTGGAAGACACTAAAGACCTGTCTCTTAGAACTCTCACAGAATAAGAAGGCAGCAATAGCTGGCTGGATCGCTACAATGGGAAGAGGACAGGATTAAGGTGCTTCCTTCTAACACTCTCAGCTGAATTTTATAGTAAAAAGGTAGATTTAAAAGCTATAAAATTAAGTAAAGTACACCCAAATACTGAAACTGAGGAAGACCTCATGCACTTGCTGCAGAAGGTCAAGGATTGCAGCCTTCAGTATGGACGGAGGCTCAATGTCAAGAAGACAAAGATTCTCACCACTGGACCAATTGGCAGCATCAGGATGGATGGCAAAAAGATTGAGATTGTTCACAGCTTCAGTTTGCTCGGCTCCACGGTCAACACTCTTGGCACCAGCAGCCAGGAAATAAAAAAACGTATTGCGATGGGAAAGTCTGCTGTTAGGGACCTCTCTAAAATACTCAAGAGCAACGGTGTGTCTCTGGAGACTATAGTGCATCTGATAAAGGACATGGCCTTTGCAATCACTTGTTATGCATCAGAGAGTTGGACAATGACTAAGGAGGATAGAAGGAGAATTGATGTCTTTGAGCTGTGGTGCTGGAGAAGAGTATTGAATGTACCATGGACTGCCAAGAAAACAAACAGATTCATCCTGGAGAGGGTTAAACCAGGCTACTCCTTGGAGGCAAGGATTCTGGGGCTTCGTCTGACATACTTTGGACAAGCTGTAAGGAGGGACAGGTCCTTGGAGAGGGACATCATGCTTGGGAGGATGGAGGGACAGCGCAGAAGGGGAAGGCCCTCTATGAGGTGGATTGATTCAGTGACTGGGATAATCGGGATGGGAGTGTCAGAGACAGTGCGATTGGCACAGGACAGAGCAGGGTTTACGGCTGTTGTACATAGGGTCGCTATGAGTCGCAAACGACTCGATGGCACATAACATCACCACCACCACCACCACCACCCAATAAGCAGGATCAAGTAAATTCTCCAAGTCCCAGGCTCACTCCTCTCATTTAATAACCTTTTTTTCCACACCCATTAGATGACAGGCCCTGATCTAGGCACTGGGAACACCCGAATGAGTTCCAGCTCTTGCAAAGCTTACATTCTTGGGAGGAGACATCATTTGAATAAGGAATATGACGTCAGGTGCTCTCAAGTTAAATAAGGCTGGCTGGAAGACAGGAAAGTGTCGGGGAACGGACTGTAAATGGGCAGCCTGAAGGGCTCTCTGAGCAGGTGGCAAGTGAGCTGAGGACAGTGTTGAGGGCGTCCTGCAGTCACGTGGGCAAATGGTAGAGACAGCTTAACGCTGGGTGCATCTGAGAACAGTCACTGTGGGTGAAATCCCAGCGATCAGAGGATGGTCAAACCAGTAACACAAACCAATAAACCAGTAATCTGAATCCTCAACTCCTTGCAGTCAGAATCCACTTAGTAAATCACATGGGGGAAGACTGCCCATCTTTCTCCCTGGGGGCAGCTGGTGGGTTCATACCACTCGCCTTTGGGTGGACAGTACAGTTTCTTACCCCCCCACGCTACATCATAGATTACCAAGAAATCCTGTCAGGAAGCTGAATCAATGTATAAAATAAGACTTTCTGCACCAAGGACATTAATACATTAGTGTGCTACATACAACAAACTATTACACTGAAGCTGACCATAGCTGTTTTACTTATGGAGAATTAATAAAGCAGACTGTGGGCTGCCTTCTTTGCAGAATGACTAGGAATTCCACCCTGTATTTCACTGATATAGAGCACTGACCCAGCAGTTTTGCTTTTGCAATATTTCTTTTTTAAGTGAAATCTAAAAGTCCTGAAATCCTATTCAAATTTATTTTGCTTATGTTGTGCACAATGACAAAGGCACCAAGAGAGACCAACCGTGAGAGACAGGCTTGACCGGGGAAGCACGGGTAGCCGCAGAGGCGCCAGTAGGCCCCGACTACTCACATTGTACTGACGGAGGCTGTGCTTCAGCTTCGTCAGGGCCGCCTGGCGATCGGCAGCCCATACGACCAGCTTGGCAATCATGGGGTCATAATGCACGGAGACTTCATCTCCTGCGAGTGAAGAACCACAGGACATGTTCAGAGTCAGAACTATGCACTCAGCTCAATAACATCTGAATTGAACATATACGACTGGCAAACAAACATTCTACTGAAATGTAGTATATATGGTTCAATTCTAAGGTAACAAGATGAATGTCACTGTTGTTGTTAGGCGTCATAGATTCAACTGAGATTTACAGCTACCCTATGAACAACAGATCTGAACTGTGCCCTACCCTGATTTATAGTGACCCTAGGAACAACAGATCTGAACCATGTCTTGTCCTGACTTACAGAAACCCTATGAACAACAATGGTGCCCTATCTTCCATCTTATTCATGAGGAAATGGAAGGAGACTCAGAGAGGATTTAAAACTTGCTTCCAGTGTACGAGGGTGGGGCCTCCAGGAGCATCAGTCCCTGAGATGAGGATTCAACAAAAGAAATTTGCTTTTCCGTGTCTCAGCGGCTTCTGAGCTCTGGGAGTTGACCTGAGTGGTGCAGGCTGTTAAGGAGCTGCATTTTAACTCAAAGGCAACACTTCCCTGAGGGTTCAAATTCACTGGCCAATCCAGGGACAAAGATGTTTCATATTTTACTATTATTTAAAACCAAACCAAAACATCAACTCACAAATCTTGCTGTTCCTTAGCCCAGAATGAAGCCAATTTATTATCAAGCAATTCCAATTCCTCACTTTGGCTTTTAAGACCTTTTGTAATTTGCCCTCAACCAAGTCTCTAGGCATATCTCCATCTACTCAACTTCCTGGACTTGCTCTTTCTGAACCAGCCACAAGCATGTTTTAATAGTGCTTCAAAGATAACTTTCTTGTTTCTTTACATTTTCTTACGCTATTATATTTGCCAACTCAAATATTTTCTGTCAGTCAAGCTTTCCTCTCAAAAGTGTGCCAAAATACCAGGCTGACCCATAAGATCTTATTCCTGAGAACTCTTTAGTCTTAAGAGTGCCTACATTCTAAAGTTTGCCAAACATAAATACATTAAGTCTTGACTTTCCATAAGCAAGGTTGTGTCAACTGCAAGACAATCTTGATGCCAGAACAGGTTTGTGAGAATTGATCAAAATACTGGCCAGCCTCAGAAGACATGAGTGCTCAGTGCACATTTAGGGGAAGCCTTCCTGACTGAGGAAACAGTGCATGGTGCAGCTGTCCCTGGAGGCCCACTGTTGTTTTCCAGCACTGACCTTACCCCTGCTGAGGTATCACAGGTTGTGCTGGTAGTGGGTGGGTGAGTTTTGGGGGGTTAGTACATATTTTGGCCATTCCTCTCACGGATGTTTTGATGAACGTGTTATTTACCTAAAACCTGCAGATTCCGGGAAGGGAGGAAGGAGCTGTTTGTCCAGTTCCGGTAAGTCCCAGGAGGGAGGGGGTTGCTGCTGTTTCTCCAGCTCCTGTAAGTTCCAGGAAGGCTGGTGGCAAATGACTGAGTTTGAGAGTCCATCAGGGCCACAAGGCAGGGCCACTGGAGTGGTGCTCAGCTACCTAAACAACGTGCCTCTGGAAACTCTATGAACTTTGAGAAATGATGACAATTACAGAAAGGCTTCATGTCTTTTGTTCAGAGGATCACTATGAGTCGTGCTCGACTTGACAGCAATCAACAACATTACAGAATTCTTCACACAGTCCAGCTTTTCATACATATTTTAACAGGTAGGGTGAAAGGATATAACCCTGACACACACCCTTCCAGATTTTAAACTACCCAGTCTTCCCTTGTTTTGTTCAAACGACGGCTTCTTGATATAAGTACAGGTTTTACATGAGCACAATTAGCAGTGAAGAAGGAGAAGTCTTCACTGAATGCTCTGATTGTAAGCGTTCAGCTCTCCAGCTTTCTTTTACTCTTTACATAATGTGCTACATGAAAAACTACCTTTCTTTTCTATCATAATAAAGCATTTACCCACTAAGTCAGATCAGATCTAGAAGATCAGCTACAAGTTTATTGAAAGGCCCAGGCACACCCGATGTAAGAATTCAGCCAATCCAAGCAGCTCCCAAGTGCTCCTTCCTAACAACTTTTAACTTTATTAACAGGCCCTGCTTTAAGTTATCTGCAAGAATTTTCAGGTGTTATGCCTGTACACAAGCAAAAAGCATGAATGCTATATGGCCTCCTAGAGGAAGAAGTCATGAAGAAGAAACCTACCCGTATTCCCAATGACTACAAAGGTACACTCATGATGGACACTTAGCCCATCTTGAAGACCAGCTGCACACAGCTCCTGATTTGCACTGTATCTTCTTTTCTAAAATAACTCCATCTTTGTCTCCTTAAAATATGAAATAGACATGAGCCCTTTCTCATGCCCTTATCCTAACCTACAAATATTCCCTAGAAACTTGCCTTTTTTTTTAAATTTTTTTTGAAACTTGCCTTTTTTGAGGCAATATTTTCTCAAGAAATTATCCCCTCTGTCCTTTTTATTTGCTGTAAGGAAAAATAAAGTTGGCTCATACACCTGCTCGTTCTAAGTCTTCATTAGAAAAAAAAGGCAAGGACCTTTTGCTTCTAACGGGACTCTGTGGTATCTATAATGACTTTAGACCATATTTGGAAGTAGGAAAAAGTAAAAAAAAAAATAAGTAGTGGACACAAAATATTTCTTGCCTTTCTTTGATTAAATATTACTGCATTTCAAAATAACAATATAGGGTTTGTTAATACTAATTATTCTTTAAAAGTAACTATTCCAGCTTAGTAGGGCAGCAAGCAATAAATGTTAGAGAAAATGTGGAGAGGCAGGAACTCTCATACACTGTTGGTGGGATTGTAAATTGGTACAACCATTCTGGATGCCAGTCTGGCTTTCCTAAAAAAGCTGAACATAGAAACTCCATATGACCCCGCTATTCTACCACTAGGAATATACTCCAAGGAAATTAGAACTGAGACACAAACAGATTTGTACACCAATGTTCATAGCAGTGTTATTCACCATTGCAAGAACATGGAAACAGCCCTAATGTCCAACCACAAATGAGTGCATTGAGAAACTGTGGTACATTCACGCAATGGAATACTATGCAGCACTCAGAAGCAATGATTTTAAAAAAGCAACTATGTAACTTGGAGAGGCTAGAGAGCATTATGCTGCATGAACTAATTCAGTCTCATAAAGACAAACACTGCATAATTAGTAAAAGATATAAGGGAATTCAAGGTGGGGAGGGCTGAGGATAGGTAGGGACAAAACCACAGGGTTGCACAGTTTAGTGGGTGGAGGTGTGGGGGAAAGGAAATGGGAAGGATCCAAGTGAAAAGACAGAATAATGATGGGCAATGTCTAATGGTGATTAATTTTATAAAACATATTGCATAGAAATGATTGTATGAAACACAATGTGAATAAAGAATACTGTGAAACACAATGTATACAAACTTTGTAAATACACCAATAAAAACCCCCTCGCAAAAAAAAAACCCTGTAAGAAAAGGGTATCTATTCCAAAAGGAAAACCTAAATGAATCTCAATTCTAAAGTATGCTGGGAATTTTCACAAGAGTCAAAGATAATATGATGCACTCAAAAAAATAACACATTAAAAGATAAAAAAAGAGTGAGGGGGGTTCTTTTGTTTTCTTTTACCTTGTCTTACTCCAGTTTCAATCCGAGTGGTAAGGTCTGCTCGAGGGGTAGAGAGATGGACTAGCGGCCCAGCCCCTGGCATGAAGTTGTTGTTTGGATCTTCTGCATATATTCTTGCTTCAAAGGCATGGCCTTGCAGAGATATTTCTTCTTGACTCAATGGGATCTTCTCGCCGGCTGCAATCTAATAAGAGAATAGTATGTGCTTCTTTTGAGAAACCACCTCACAGCAGCTACAAGCCTTGGTAAAAACTGATGAGCAGTTTTTATTCAGTAAAAACTGAGAAACAGGGAGTCAGGAGAATCCCTGTCTTACTGACTTGACTCACGAAGGAGGTAAGGCTGAGTGAAAGGACGGGTCTGGAGTGCAGGGAGAAGTGTGGCTGATGCCTCTCTGAACCTAGCCACAGATGACTGGGGAGGAGGTGCCAAGACCCAACCAGGTGAAGAGGAGATGACCCAAGCTGGGAGCTAATGCTGACCACTGCAATCTGATGCAGTCTCTGGACTAGACTTTGCTTGTCGATGCAGATGCTTGAAGTTTCAGAAGATTCAGAAGATGTTTCAGCAAAAGAAACATGCTTATTCCCTCAAAGCACTGGTTTGATAGGGATGGGCAAATCAGAAATTGGCTATCTAAGGATATTAAGGCATAAGGCATGAAACAGATGGTTTATAGGCTTTCACCAATGTAGTTATTAGTAAAATGACTGTAAGGGGGGAAAAAATCTCACAATACACATGAGCGTAATACAATGTAAATTAAAACGTGGATAAACCACAATGTACATGCAGTAAGCACAAAGTATATGAAGGACTGTATTCAAACCAATTAAAAGATAGAATTTTAAAAACTCCAATTGATGAGCTTGTCCTTTTCTATGTAAAACATACATCTGATTTTTTTTTAATCAAATGAAGAAAAAAATCCACCTCTATTTTATCCATTGACTTGAGTATTAGGCAGAACTAAAAATAAAGTTTGTGCATCCACATGCCAAAACTCTGATGACTAGAGAATTACCTGCAATGGGTTTCCAGTCTTCATAGGAAGAGAAAAGGTGAAATGATGACTAAGTCATAAACACAAAAATATGTTTGTGGACTATAACCAAGGCCAAAACATTTTACTGGCAAAAAGTCTCATTTTTTTCATTCAAACTATCAATGCTCAGGTTGCAAATCAGTCTTTTGCTTAGCTGATATTTAGGACGGCACCCACAGCCAGGGGCTCGGCAGGGCTTCAAGCTGTCCCACACCCTGACCAGCATCCCTGAGTGAGAAAGGAAGGCAGGAGGGGGCAGGGTGGCCTTTCAACACTGTTACATTTACACATACAGCTCTACAGCAGACCATAAAAAGGATGCCTGGCAGTGCTCACCACCGCTACAATTACTAGTAGCATGATAGCTAGTATGTACTAACATCGTTCATTTCTCCTTGGAACAACTAGAACTCAAAAAGCAGACTACAAGACATACTGCCTCTTTCTTTCTTACACTCCTTCAAGTTCTTCTCCAAGATAAAAATAGTATGACTTGAGAGTGCCCTACAGAGACACAGGAGGGGAATAAAACCGCAACAATATCTAATTAACTTAGCAGGACATAAATGAACTAAAAAGGGGAACAAAGAACAAATTGAGGGTTTCTTTTCTCTTTTTGAGCCTGTCAGTAAGACAGGAGGATTAAGGATTAGCCTCCACTTCTGAAATAGCAGGCCTTCGAAAACCCTATCTATGTACAATAGAACACACAGACTAGCAGATAGGGCAACTGAAGTGGAGCACTCAAATATGGAAACACAAAGGAGAAGGAACAGTTGTAAGCAGACACTAGTGATTAGAACATGGAATGTGAGAACTATGAATGTAGGAAAATTAGATATTGCAAAGGAAGAGATGGAATGCATAAATATTGACATACTAGGTATTGGCGAGAGGGACTGGCATGAGCATTTTGAGTCAGATCTACTATTCTGGAGATGAAAAGGTGAGGAAAAATGGGGCTGATTTTACACTTAAAAAAGTAATTTCTAGATCTGTCCTGAAATACAGTGTGATGAGTGACAGGATAATATCCATACACATACAAGGAAGTCCGGTCAATATCACTATCATTCAGATATATGCACCAACAACCAGTGCCAAAAAAAGAGGAGATAGAAGATTTCTACCAACTTTTGCAGTGAGAGATCGATCAAACATGCAATCAAGATGCATTAATAATAATGGTGAGTGGAATGCAAAAGTTGGGAACAGAGAAAAAGGATCAGTAGTTGGAAAACATGGACTTGGTGACAGAAATGAAGCTGGAGATAGAATGATAGAATTTTGCACAATCAACAATTTATTTGTTGCAATTATGTTTTATAAGAAACATAAATGCAGGCTATACACATGGATTTCACCTGATGATATATATGCACAGGAATCAGATCGATTACATCAGTAGAAAGAACTGCTGAAGAAGCTAAATATCACCTGTGAAAACTAGGCCAGGAGCTGATTGTGGAACAGACCACCAACTACTCATATGCAAGTTCAAGCTGAAGCTGAGGAAAATTAAACCAAATCCACGGGAACCAAAACATGACTCGAAGCTATCCAACCTGACTTTAAAAACCATCTCAGGAATAGATTTGAGGCTTTGAATACTAATGAGCGAAGACCAGATGAGCTGTGGGAGGATATCAAGAATATCATCCAGGAAGAATGCAAAAGGTCATTACAAAGACAGAGGAGGAAGAAAAGGCCAAAATGGATGTCAGAGGAGACTCTGAATATTGCACTAGAATGCTGAGAAGCCAAAAAAGGGAAGAAATCAAGATATTAAGGAGCTTAACAGAAGATTTCAGGGGGCAGCACAGAAAGACAAAGTATTATAATGAAATGTGCAAAGAGCTGGAGTCAGAAAATCAAAGGGGCCAAACTTGCACAGCATTTCTAAGCTGAAGGAACTGAAGAACAAATTCAAGCCTCAAGTTGCAGTATTTAAAGATGTTTTGGGCAGAATATTAAATGATCCAGGAAGTATTAAAAGAAGATGGAAAGAGTATACAGAGTCATTATACCAAAAGGAATTGGCGGACACAGAAGAATTTCATGAAACAATGTATAAGCAAGAGCCTGTGGTGATGAAGAAGTTCAAGCCGCTCTGAGAGAATTGGCAAAAAACAAGGCCCCAGAAGTGTGACAGTATCCCAACTGATATATTTCAACAAGCAGGTGCTTCCCTAGATGTGCTCACTAAATTGTGCCAAGAAATCTGGAGGACAACCACCTACCTGGCCAACTGAATTGAAGATAAATTTGTTCCCATTCCAAAGAAAGGTAATCTGACAGAGTGTAGAAATTATCAAACAATATCATTAATATCACATGCAAGCAAGATTTTGCTGAAAATTATCCAAATATGACTATAACAGCACATCAGCAGAGAACTGCCAGAAGTGTAGGCTCTGTTTAGAACAAGCCATTGCACTAGGGATATTGTAGCTAATGTTAATGGATCTTGGCTGAAAGCAGGGAGTATCAGAAGAATGTTGATCTGTGTTTCATTGACTATGCAAAGACATTTTGACTGTGTGGATCACAACAAACTGTGGCTGACTCTGAGAAGAATGGGAATCCCAGAACACTTGATTGTGTTTATGTGAAAACTATACTTGGACCAGGAGGCAGTCATTAGAAAACAGCAAGGAAACACTGCATGGTTCAAAATCGAGAAGGGCGTATGACAGGGATGTGTCCTATCTCCAGACTCTTTCAATCTATACGCGGAACAGATTATCCAGGAGGCTGGGCTCTATGAGAAGAAATGTGGCATCAGGATTGGAGGAAGACTCGTCAGCAACCTGTGTTATGCAGGTGATATACCCTGCTTGCTGAAACTGAGGAGGATCTGAAACACTTGCTGCAGAAGGTCAAGAACTGTAGCCTTAGATATGTTTTGAAGCTTATATGAAGAAGACAAAGATCCTCAACACTAGGCCGATTGGCAGCATCAGGATGGATGGTGAAAAGATTGAGATTGTCAACAGTTTTAGTTTGCTTGGCTCCACAATCAACATTCTTGGCACCAGCAGCCAGGAAATTAAAATACATATTGCATTAGGAAAATCAGCTGTCAGGGACCTCTCCAAAGTACTGAGGAACAATGATTTCAGTCTTGAGACTAAGGTATGCCTGATACAGGCAATGGTCTTTGCAATCACTTGCTATGTATCAGAGAGCTGGACAATGACTAGGGCTGATAGAAAGAGAATTGATGCCTTTAAGCTGTGGTGTTGGAGAAGAGTACTGAATATACCATGGACTGCTAGGAGAACAAACAGGTTGGTCCTGGAGAGGGTGAAACCAAGCTGCTTCTCGGAGGCAAAGATTCTGAAGCTTCGTCTGACACACTCTGGACCTGCTGTATGGAGGGACTAGTCCTTGGAGAGGGATGTCACGCTTGGGAGGGTCAAGAACTGTAGCCTTAAATATGTTTCAAAGCTCAATATCAAGAAGACAAAGATCTCACCACTGGGCCGATTGGCAGCATCATGATAGATGGTAAAGAGATTGAGAATGCAGGAGAGGAAGACCCTTGATGAGATAGACCGATTCAGTGACTAGGGTAATGGGAGGTAGGTGTGTCAGAGACAGCGAGATTGGCACAGGACAGATCAGGGTTGCTATGAGTTGTGGGTGACTCGACAGCACAGAACACAGAACAACATTTTTTTTTCCTCTTCAGAGAAAAATGTCTTACTTTTATTTTGGAAGCAAGAACTCTTTCTAGAACTTTCCAAGCCCACTCATGTTTTTTCTTGACACAAACATTCACTTCACTCGATGGGCCTGGTTTTTCATTAGTTCCCAAGGCTCTGACAAGAATCTTTTGGCTCAACCGGATCTATCAATCATCCTCAAAAAGATAGCAAAAGGAAGGTCCTATTATAGTCCATTGAAGTTTCACAAAGATAAAGCTATCAAGGGCATCAAGACTTCAGCATCATAACATGAAGAACAAAACAATATCCCAACAATTTAGATTTAGGATTTGGAAGTAACCAAGAAGTTAATAGATATACTGACACTACTTTTAAGATGTTAAAACAAAAAAGAGTGGAGGTAGAATCTATAATTTTCTATAAAGAGAATAACAACAGATTGTTACTCTTAGTAATATTCAAAGAAATATGCTCTGTGGAACTCTGATTTAGACCACTGTTTTTCAAACTATCTATAAAGGAACAGTTGTGGACTTAACGCATTTGTAAAATAATCTTCTAATTGTATCATCACAGCAATGTCAAGATGCTTTAAGAGGTTCTGAACCCTTGTTCTGATTGCCAATCTTATATCACAGCCCACTGACAGCCTGTGGCTCAGCCCAGTGGCTGGTCTAAGGAACACTCTATTATTGGTCTACATCAGTCCTTTGGCTCTTCATGTTTTATTCTGCTTTAGATTGTATCACCTGAGCTAGCATTCTAGTCTCATCTCTATAACAATGAGCTGTGCTGGAATGGTGTGATCTCAGGTAGAACTTAAGGCTTTGGTACTGAGATGATTGATATTGAGATGATGTGGTTATAAGCAAGTCTCAGGGCATTTTGTGGGCAGCTCATCTAAGAGGAAATGACAGGAATTAACAAGTTGAGAATCTGAGTCCAAAAAGGGACGATCATGTCAGTGCCAAATGCAGCACCACCTTTACCTCCCATTTTCCTGTCCTTATCAAATCACCAAGAAATGAATCCTGTGCAAAGCGATACCTTCTTTTAAGAGGCCTGAAGGAATCATCTTCAAGATTGAACTAAAACAGAAAAAAATATTCTCTCACCCTAAGCTGCCACTCTACCAAATCAGTTCCTGTTATCATCTCAGTAACAGGATGTTCCACTTGTAGCCTCGTATTCATCTCCATGAAGTAGAAATTGTGCTTTGAGTCCATAATAAACTCCACTGTTCCTGGAAGAGAAAATATAATGGCTACATAGCAGTACTACTTAATCAAATCAGCAGCAAATAAAAAATCATCCACAGTGTGTCACAGTAAGGTTTTGGTGCTGCCTTCACACAATGGCAAACATTTTGCACTTCAGAAACATCTCACATATTGCCACAAATGCTTCTCAGTCAAAAAATAGGATGCTGCATGTAATTTAGTGATAGCAAAGTCTATTTGGAGCTTGGAGCAAATGGTGAGCCCAGGTTATGAATCAGTGTCAGCTGTCACAGCAGTGGGAACACAGCGGAACCATGTGTCACTGCCTCAGTGTGTGAAGGTCCCCAGAAGCCTCACGTGTGCCACCCTTTCTCACCCTAACCCTGTGGAGACGAACAGAAAACTTTCCAACTCCACTGTGCATTCTTCAAAGTTTCTTTTAGAAAAGACCTTTTGCTGGCGATCCATTGAGAGGAGTTTTGAAGCCACTAAATCCTATGTCAATGTCTCATCTACTGGCATTCTATAATAAAAGCACTAGAAAAATGTCCCCAGCTTATTAAGGTATCATTTCAGATACTGAAATGTTTTTACTTAAATGTGCACATACTGAGTGATGGCAGTTGCATGCAGTCATGTGACCACAAGCACAGTGCCAAACACAGAAATGCTTCCATCCTCCTAAAAACCACCGTGGTCCCTCCTTGTGGTCAATTCTTTCCTGATAATTCTGGCCCCAAGCTTTCTGTGTAATCCACTTTGTCACTGTAGTTTCGCCTTTCTTAGAACTTCATAGAACTGAAATCACAGACTGTGCAGTCTATAATGTTTTTCTCACTTAGACTCCAGTTAGATCCATATGTGTTTTCAACATGCTTAGCAAAGTGTGGCTCACAATTCAGTATCATAAATACCAATTCAATGATTCTATTTGAAAATAGAACAGAAAACACTTTTTTAAAAATAACATATAATCAAGGTAAGCACTGTTCAAGGATGTTTTAATTTCAACACACACACACACACTCAACACTCTTATATATATACACCTATGTATGCGTACTAGGTTTCAATCTAAAAATGTATCTCACTGTAAATCTGATGAAAAGTTAAGGCAGTGATTCTGAGAAAGAAATGATCATTTTGTAAATCGTAACATACCTGCTCCCACATAATTTACAGCTTTGGCAGCTCTGACTGCAGCTTCTCCAAGCTTTCGTCTTACTTCAGGTTCGATTCCGGGCTAAGAACAAGATACTTAAAATAAATCTCCATTAGCACTTTAGCTTACTAGATCGTCCCACAGATATAAAATATGTCTCTAATTATCAAATATTGCACTAAAAGATAAAGATGAAATGTTAATGTCCTATGTTGTTGTTAAGTGCTGTCAAGTCTAGACAACTCATAGTGATCCTATGAACGAAAGACCTGGACACTCACCTAACTTTCATCATTTCTCTAAGTTCATAGAGTTTTTGGAGGCAAGCTATTTTGGAAATGGTTGCTACTCTTGCTTCCAAACCCTTCATATAGTTTTTAAAATAAATACCATCCTGTATCACAGTAGAACTGTTGCTAGGCTAAAGGGAAGGGGCCCTCATAGTACAGTCTGACCCTCCGTTCTCCAGCAGCTCCAGAGGGGAAAGATTGGGGCTCTACTGTCGTAGATTCTGTATGCCCTAGAAAACTGTGGGGCAGTTCTTCTCTGTCACTTGGGCCACTGTGAGTTCAAATCCACTTGATGGCACCCAACAATAACAGAATACCAAAGTCTCAAGGGTCTGTCAGTAGTGTCCATGAACTGTAGATATCAGATATTGCCCAGTATAATTACATATCTTTATCCCGCATACCTACATAATAGCTTTCACGGCTACAAATCTATTTAACATCACGTATATCACTGTGATGAGACCATGATAAAAAGACATTATGCTGGCAAACGTGGAGGGTCAGATAAAGAAAAGAAGACTTTGAACAAGATGGATGGACCCAGTGGTTTTCACAATGGGCTGGAGTATGTCAGAGATGGGGAGGATGGGTTTACTGGGTTGCTAGGAGTCAGTCATGGTTAACCTGATGGCACTCAACACAGTCACCGCTAACACGAAACTTTCAATTATGCCCTTTGTTCCAGGAGGATAAAGTGATCAGATCAAATGCCTTGGCATCATATGAATCCTGTAACTATAAATTAACAACATTCATCACAAATGTATATTAATAAAGAAATGAATCTTTCAATATTTTCAAAGCACAGTGTTTTACATATAAATGTGTATAGTTGACCCTTAGAGGCTTTTCAGTGGCTATGAATCACATACAAGACTGTCCATTTTTCTCTCAAGAGCAGTTAGTGAATTCAAACCATGTGTCTTTGGGTAACTCCTTAAGCCACTGAGTTCCCTATAAACGGCAGTCACCACTTGAAAATATGCTTTACTAAATGGTGGCATATAATCCACAACAGAAATGACATTTTTAATATGAAAATAACAAACTGAATAATAGTAAACCTCACTTTTTTTATTTTTCAATGAGAAAAACAAAAAAATATTATGTATACAGTCTGACCCCAGGAGCCCATAGCAGGTAGCAGACTCCAAAGAAAGGTTAGTATAAAAATCCTGAACACTGGCCTCAACTTAGATACCAAACTAAACCGATTAAAGCAGTTCAAAGGGATGTGTACATTTACAAAAAGCTAGACTCTGTGTAAGCTGGACCCCTGTTAGGGAAGTAAAACTCTAAAACTTTTTCTACTAATAGAGTGCAACAGAACAGTGGTTAAGATTCCACCCTGTCAGAGATGGGAAACTGTCCAAACTAGAAAAACAAGGTCATCCCTGTGCTTTCCAACTCTGCCAGGTTTGTCTGCAAAGCTAAGGAGCTTAGAGGTGCCACAGAGGGATCCTTTCTTCACTGCAATACAGCCTCTAAGGCAAGAAAACAACCCAGAGAAGAAATATGGGAAACAGGTGTTAAAGCAAGGGTTCTATTCACCAAAAAATACAGTCAATTAACTAGACCATTCTATGTCTCAAATACCCTGTTTTTGTCAGTGCTGTCGAGTTGAGTAGAAGCACAACCCTATGAACAGATCTGAAGCCTGTTCTGTCCTGTGCCATCATCACAATCTCTGAACCACTAGAGCCCATTGTGGATGTCACTGTGTCAATCCACCCAGTTGAGGGTCTTCATCTTCTTGTCATCCCTCTACCTTTCCAAGCACGATGGCCCTCTCCAAGGAATAGCCTCTCCTAGCATCATGATCCCAGCATCGTCTTTGCCTCCAAGGAGCATTCTGGCTGCACCTTCTCCAGGACATCTCTGTTCTCTGGCAGTCCATGGGATATCCAGTACTCTTCTCCACTCTACTTACGATTTAAAATATGCATTGAGATCTCACTGTCCAGCTACTCATACTACATCAGACACTTGAATAAGAGTGGATTTTCCTCTATTTCCCTCAGAAGGAACTCAGCCCTACTGTATTCTCTGTAAGGTAGCCCAGAGCATGGACTTCCTCGTCTCCCTGTGATCAGGCCTTATCATCACATTACCACCGGGTAATAGATATCCAGGGAGTTCTGGTGGACTAGTGGCAAGAAGCTGCACTAAAATCCTGAAGACACTCGGTTCGAGGCCACCAACTGCTCTGTGGGAGAAGGATGGGTAATCTCCTCCCATATGAGTAACTGCCTCTGAAAACTCACTGGAGGAACAGCTATGATCAGTTCCGACTGGATGGTATACAATAACAACAATAAGCTGTTATCCAGGAGGGCTCAGGGGTTGAGCGCATGAAACTCAAGTGTCACAGACTCACATAATAGTTGTTTGAATCACAAGTCTGAATCAACTCGTGGTTGATCCCCAAACAGGTTGTCCGAGGCAGTAAATCATACAGGAGATTGCCCATCCTTCTCCTGTGGAGGATCTAGAGGATTCAAACTATGTGTCTTTGGGACCGCAGCACACCTTCTTACCACTAGGCCACCAGCAAGTACCCCCTTATATTACAGAAAAACTTATAAATGTCATTACAAGGTCCTTACCCCTGGAGCCTCCTCAATGATCTTCTGGTGTCTCCTCTGCACACTGCAGTCTCTTTCAAACAAGTACACAGCATTGCCGTGATGGTCACCAAACACCTGGACTTCCACATGTCTGTTTACAACAAACACACAGGTTACAGACTTGGTTAAGAGTGACACCAGGAAACAAAGTCTGTTTACAGCAAACACACAGGTTACAGACTTGGTTAAGAGTGACACCAGGAAACAAAGTCTAGGCCTCAGTGACCACAGTTCCTCCCACTGTTCTTATTTTTTTTTTCAAAGAAGATATTTTTATCACAAAATAGAAGTTATACATTTAGAAATAGAACTGTATTTACTCCTGTGAAAATTCAGTAAGTTTCCATGCAAGGGCATGAATTTTAAAGAAAGAAAGAAAAATCATTTTCCTAACTACAATAGAGTATGAAACTTATTTTAAGAGAGGTTTGGAGGTTGGTAATGGGCGGTGTTGAAGGAATGAGGACATCATTCATAAAAGTGCAAAGACAAACATTATAAACACTTGCACTTCCATTACTGGAAGTTAATTTCAGTTTATATTTACTATATGCACTTCCTTTTATTTCTTTTCTATGCATACATATACATATGTATGTATTAAAAATACAGAAGTAGGGATATACTTTCCAAGACTTTTATAATTTGCTTTTTTTTTTAAATTTTGTAAAAATTTTGTTGCAATTGAAAAGAGATACACTGACTAATAATTTCTACATGAGCAACTCGAGGACAAGGACTACATAGTTTGACACTGTTTTCCATAGTGGTTGTACATACCCACCAACAGATGCCCTCCAAACACCTTTATCACCACTTGTTATTTTTCTCATTATTTCCTTTGTAAAGATCCCAGTCATCCTAATGGAGCACCGCATTGTGACTGGATTTACATCTCTCTGAAGGCTAATGATGATGAGCTTTGCACGTGTTTGGTGGTCTCGTTGACGAAATGTCTATTCAAGTTCTTTGCCTATTTTATAACTGAGTTATTCGTCTTTTTCTCCATAAGTATCTTAGTTTTTATTACTTATGTCTTTGATAGCAATAATTTGGCTCCAATTTCCACTATTTTTTTTCCAGAATAAGAGGTTTATTGCAAAGAGGATCGGGGGTGGGGGTGGGGGGTAATTATGCAAGAGTGAACAAATATTTAAAATAAAGAGTAATGGGAAGAGGGGAGAGAGGGGGAGGGGAGAAAGGGCGCAACAATTAATGAATGAAAATCTATTCTGTAAACTTTTGTTAAAATCACAATTAAAATAAA